TTTGGTAGAGGCCTTTCCGAGTTATAAAACATCTTATGGGTAGAGGAGAAACATGGAAGGAGGTTGGTACATTAATTATATGCTGTGTCCTCACTGTGACAGGTAGTTACCTCTAGCTGGAAAAACAGCTATGTCAAGCATGAAGAACCTTTCAGTGCTCTGAAATGCAAGAGTTTGACATAACCAGATTTTAAAATTATTTCAAGTCTTCTCTTAGAAGTTCCCTTTGAAGTTGTTGAAGTTTTTGAGAAGAAAAGATAAACTTAGTTCAATGAACTGATTATCTTAATGCTTGGAATAAGTTTTACAGGTTAGAAAATCCAGGCTGCTTGATACCTACTGGAAATGAATTTCACTAGGTGAAAAGCAAAATATTTTTCTTTACAGACTTTAGGCTGATTTTTCTCTTTCCCACTAGCATGTTCAAGAGATATGGAAAAGTTTGAAAGCAACCTGATTTATTGTGTGGAACATGCAAAGCACAGTTTTTGTTGGTGGTTGTTTCTTCTGGATGTGTTGTTAGTCTCAAACACAGATACACACATTTTAAAGCATGCCAATTCTTTTACATTTTAGTCCTAAATACCCTTGAACTGTCTCATAAATCTGACCATTAGCTTAAAAAACAAAAAAAAAAAAACCAAAAAAAAACCAAAAAACCAACCAAACAAAAAAAAACCACAAAAAAACACCTAAACTGGTGTGACTTAATAGGTAGAAAAATGTGCTTGCTAGGAACTACATTGGGCATATTGGTCACTGTGTGCTACTGAAAGCCCCTAGGTTTAAAATGAAGTGGTATGAGATACACTGTCGAGCTTAGATATTTAGATTTTCTTTGATTGCTTTGTTTAAGGCTGTATATTTATCATTTTCATGCATGCATCATGTGGAATAAATTGTGCTTTATATGTAGTGTAAATAACAGGATGGAAACTTGCCTCAGATTCTCCTGGTTTCTCATCCCTGATGGTCCCACTCTCCCCAGTTCTTCTCATGCTCTCTTCAGCTTCTCAGATTTTTCGAGTGGGTTGTTTGATACACAGCCTACTGAACAGAATATTAAACAGTAAAACAAAATAACACTTTGGAGATTAAACAGATAAATTCGCTGGGTTTTGGGCAGGGATGTTCTTAAAGATGCAACAGTTGCATCTTCACCCTTGTTTTACCAGAAGATACTAGTTTATTACTATTGTGGGATAATTTTTTTTTCACTTGAGCAAATTCCAAGCAAATTTACAGTTCTTGGTCTGTAGAGCCATTCCTAATACACAATTAATAGTTTTTCAGGCATTACTTCTGTTTCTTTGAAGTTTTTCCCTACGTTAAGTACTGTCTTTCACATCATGTAGTGTTTAGTGGTTTGTGAGGTACTATCTGTGGAACCTATAAATTATACTTGTAGCAGACATGAAGAGAACCTGTTCCCTGAAAGCTGTAATGTTCCTGGGCCAAGATCTTGTAAGTAATTCAGTGCTTGTCAGCTCAGACGTCAGGAATGAGCAGACTTGTCAGCTAGATAGCACCTGATCCAACTTCTGTAAGGATGTTATGCTGTGGCCTCTAAGATACTGAACATTGAATGTCAGTTCTGAAGGTTGAATGTCAGTTCTGAAGGTTGGTGTGGAAGAAATGCAGTTGCTGTAAAGAATCATGGAGTTTGTGGACTAAATAAACCCCAGAAAATATATTACCTAACAACAACAAACTTTTTCAGTTTAACTTTTTTTGAGAGTGTTTAGTTCTGGAAGCCCAAATTTGGTATTTGGAATGATGCAGTTGGTTCAGAAAGTTATGTCCTTGAGTCAACACTTCAGTTAGTACAGAGTATGGATATTTGTCACTCTGTTCTGATCACCAGGGGCCAGTTACCTGGTGTATTTTACACTGATTCATTTAAGTGCTTATTCTGAATTCCTTTCTTGTCAGTTCTCACAGTTGTGTATTTATTATTTTGATGGTAACCAGGAGCAGAGCAGAACTTCGTTTCAGTGTTCTCAATCTTCTCCTTAATTACAGAAAAGTAATACAGCTTTGTGGATAAGTAGAGAAGCTTCTCAGGTTGTTTTTTTTTTTTTTTTTTGCTTTCATTCTTTCTGTACATTCATCTAATGCCAAAGAAGAAGTCATGAGACAACTCAAACTTTTTTGAGATGGTAAAGTTGCAGATAGCTTCTCTCCTGAGCTTTTTGAGGAAGTCAAAGATTGTCTACTGCTGAAAATAAGTATTAAAACTAGAAGGGACATGTCTTTTGGCATTGTCAGCTGAAACTAAGGACATGAGAGTGTTCTTTGAGGCAGTTTATGGGACTCAAAGCAACTATATTTTTGTCAAAACAAACAGCAGTGGAGGCATTATGCAATGCCAGAAATAGTGTCAGCCTGTTTATGCAGCAGCAATACAAATTCCTGTGTGCATTGTTCTTTTTGGGTCACCTGACAGTGATGGTCCGTGTCAGAATTATATTTGTGCTACACTTTCTATTTGCACAGAAGTGGACTAGAAGTGGGTTTACTCTGATAATTTGAAGAGTGACTAGACTTCCATGCAAACATACAGCTAAAACATTTTGAGGGTTTTAAAAATTAATTTGAAAAGAGCAAAAGCACCACCAAGAAAATAAGTTGATATCAAGCTGCTTTGCAAATACTTTTGAGTCTATTAGTACTTAGAGTAGTTTCAGTAGCACTTAATTATCAAACACATAAAGATAAGTGGGGGTGGCCTGTGAAGAGCCACAAGTTTGGAACTGTGGTCTGGTTTACCTAAGCTGAGCTGGAGCAGAAGGGACGTTGTCTGGGATTCTTGGAAGCTCCCACAGGTGAGATGCTGAAGGTACAGGAAAAGTTCAGACATGAAGGAGTTTTCTGCAGGGGAAGCTTGTAGTAAAGTTATTTTTTTTCCATCAGCTTCTGTGAAACTTAAAGTAGGGTTTTTTTCCTTTCTTCATCTACCTTGCACTCAGGAACCTTTTGTAGTTTTTGTGTGTTTAACAGTTCTAGTAGCTGTAATTACAGACCAGGTTGCTTTAATGAGTGTATTTCCAGCTATTTTTACTTAAAAATAATATCCCCCTTTTTAAAAAAAAGATGCAAATGAAATACTGCAGTGAAATATTTGTGAGTGCAATTAAGTATGTTAAAGAAATGAGAACTTTTTTGTTATTAGCAATTGAAAAAGGAAAAGAAATAAAGGGATTTTTTTGCAGTCATTTGCTAATTAATTATGGGGGACAAAACTGTTTCTTTTTTCCAGTGAGCAGATTTTTATTTAGGAAGAGGGATTGTGGAGATGAAGTGTGTATCTGTGATGGTGGTATTACTGTCTTTTTCACAGCAACTTTTAAAAGCCCAATACATGAGTTAATTCCAAAGGAGTTCACCAATGGTATTTGCTGCCTTTTCAGTCACATGCATGTTTTGGCATAAAGTTTCCCAAATTAATGGAATTTGCAGACAGTGTCTTTTGGCTGTGCTTATTTTAGCTGCATGTTAGAGTTTGCAGATGTGCTGGTACAATTAGTTGATGTGTCCTTTTGTTTTTAAGCATGTGCTTTCTGTCATTTTGGGTTTTATTGCAGAGCAGTTCCATCTTAAGCTGTTCCTTGCATTGCAGCTGCTGTCTGTTAAGCAGTAGATTTTGCAGAGTCTGGAAAATCTAGAGAAGCAGCATTTGTGCACACAGTCTGTTTCCACAGTAGTATGTTCTTAGCTGGCCATTTGTCTTGTTCATCTTGTCTTGATCTCCACCAGTTCAGCTGCTCTAATCTACTGTTTATTAGACATGCCTCTTGTTTGTTAGTGTTTTATTTTAATCAATTTTTTTTTCTTATACAAATGCTTCTGAAATATTCACTGGCTATTGGAGTGATAGTTGCATTTTTATTGTCATATCCTAAGTTTCACTGATAACATGAGTTTTTCTTCACCCTTCCTTACAAAGCCCTCTTCTAAAGCAGGGACTTGTTCACATCCACCCTTACTGTTAATAATAATTTCTAATGTGGTTCAGATTACAACCTAAATTTTGCCAGAGTAAGTAGACAGGTAAGGTTATGCTCAGTATTCACTTACAAATGGGGTGTATAGTTGTATCTTTTATTCTATCCAGACTATGCTCACTGAGTTGATAGAATGTTTAAGTGCCTTTTTTTTGATTATTTTTAGTGATATTTTGAGTATTTTAGTGGGTATTGATAGAAAGTGGAAATAGTTTAGGATGTAGTGTCTCTTTTCCATATTCAACACAATTGTATCTTCCTGACAGAAACCTGAAATACAGAAATATATTCTTCAATACTGACTGGTCTCAATGTTCACAGTAGTAACAAACATGCAATAACTGATGTGAATTTGCTTAATTCCTGTTCCCTGATGACTTCACTCTATGGCCTGTTTCACTTTGAGTTTTGTTTGGTAAAAGCTGTATTGTATTTGAAGGAAGTATTTGAAGTGTTTTGAGTGAGATATGAAAGTAAATGAAATTCCTGTATGTGGCTTAAGTAGACAAATTCAGGTAAAGGTCTGGATCCTCCAGGTGTGGAGCTTCAAGGATGCTTTATTACTGTAAAGAAATAAGCTGAGTAATGTGGTAGATGCCAGAGTTAAGTGTTGTCTCTCACAATGAAATACTGACTTGATATTGGTCGTGTTTTACTGGTTTCTATATTTTACTGTGCTTAGTGCTGTTTTTTCCTGTCTCCCTCAGCAGACATTTATTACAACTAGGGTTTTTTTTGCTTATTAGGGAAACGTGAACTCAGATAATTGCCTTGAGAGACAAAGGAGTTCTCAAAAGTTCTGGTTAAACATCTTTTACCTTTACAGTTGACAGTGTAACCGTTTTAACTGCTTGAACTTAAGCCTCCCCAGCATGACTATACAATATATAGCTTTAGACATCTGCAACGAATACTTTAAGAAATGATGTCATACGAATCCACTCTCACTATATCCTGATATTTGATGTGTTTATATTTCTGTCTGGTTTATTTCAGGAATTTGCAGCACTCACAAAAGAGCTGAATGTATGCAGGGAGCAGCTGCTTGAAAGGGAAGAAGAAATCGCTGAACTGAAAGCAGAAAGAAATAATACAAGGGTTAGTTCCTTGTCTTCTCCAAGCTCAGGGTTGTTAAAATATCCAGCTAGATGGGGAAAAACACTGAGTATGGAATTTGAAAAGCTAAAAGTACTTTTCCCCTGATATTTGCACACGAATCCCCCTGGGAAGTGCAAATGTGTGTCGATGAAGGAAGTTTAGCAGTTTATGCACAGCTCTGAGGAGTGAATCAGGAAAAGGTTGTAAGACTGCACTGCTGTCTGTCATTCAGCTTTCTTCTTGTTAATCTTTTGTAAATGTACAACACCCGAGGTCAGGGGAAAGGAGTGGGCAAGCTGTAGTGATCTGTTCCAGCAGCTTACACTGCTGCCAGCAGAACGTTTGCTCTCAGATTTAGGGCATTTCCTATGTGTATCCTTCTGACAAGCAGGCAGTTCCCCAGATTGGTGGCTGAACTGAAAAGATCTGGTTAAATAGAAAGCTCATTTAAAAACTAGACTGAAAGAGAGAGGTAGGAAATGCCTTAGCTCTGATAAAACTCCTAACGTGGGTGAAATGTTAAAAACGGGTCCTTAAGTTTGATGCAATACTCTTTGGCTCTCAGATTTCAAGATTAGAACTGAAAACCTAAATGTTTTAGGAGGTAAAATTTTCTGCAGCTATGCAGGACAGGAATAAACACTGTTCCTTTTTTGTTTTAGCTATTACTGGAACATTTGGAGTGTCTTGTCTCCAGGCATGAGCGATCCCTCAGAATGACTGTTGTAAAGAGACAGGCTCAGTCTCCAGCAGGAGTTTCTAGTGAAGTAGAAGTTCTCAAAGCACTAAAATCTTTATTTGAGCACCATAAAGCCCTTGATGAAAAGGTAATGAGACGTGGTAGCTAACATCTTCTCATCCTGTCCCCCTTCTTTGCGTGGACTGTGCTGTTGGTTGTGCTAAAGTTGTAGAAGTCTCTGAACTTTCTCTGTGTTAGGACAGTGGCTTTGCTATAGCTGCACCAGTAACTGCTCTCCTAAATTACTGTGTTACACTAAAGCAAGTTGCTGTACTTCATTAACTGTGCTAATGTAAACTAAGCATGGTTCAGGGGCGGTGTATTTGTGTAGGAATGCATAAGTTTGCTTACCTGTATAATATCAGGATTTAGCCTTTTGATGATATGATACAAGAAGTGGACTGGAGAGAACAGGAGAAGAGGAATCTGCTTACGCTGTGATAGAAAATAAAGCTGAGTTAAAGGAGCTCTACCCTTTGCTTGTGCCTGATGCTGGCAGCAGGATATACAGGTGGTAAAGTTCACTGTGAATTTAGCTGCCAACTCATAGTTTGCCTAAATTCTGTAACCCTTGTATATAGTCTGGCAGATTATTTCAAGTAGAATTCTGTCTCTTCTGTCTTGTAAATAAGCAAAAGCATTCACACTCTGTGCCTTACCAAAGGATAGGCAAATTCTGGATACCTTTAGTTCTTGCCTGAAAGTACAGGTCAAGCTGAGACATCCTTTGCTTACGACAAAGGAAAAGATAGATTTTCATATGTGCATTGTTTCTTGAGGTTTTCTATAGCATATGTTGAAATTAGTGCTGACTCGAGATTAAGCAGGTCCCTAAGTGTGGTAGAAATAGTGTCATTTATTATCTGAAAGGGCACGGCAGCATGGCATTAAGTGAAATTGGTTTCTTTATAATTTGAACGATTTTGAATTATTTGAAATTACTCTTTCAGGTAAGGGAGAGGTTACGAGTAGCACTTGAAAGATGTAGCTTGTTGGAAGAAGAACTAGGTACTACACATAAAGAGGTAGGTTTCTTTTGTAAGAGGTCTTCATGTGTGCCTTGTGGGTGTTTCAGTCAGTCAATATTGGTACACAGTAATTTATTCAGTTATTAAGGTTCACTGTTTTTTTTCACTAAATGAGTTAACTATGCTTTTTAACTTAGACACTTTGAAAGAGCAGAAAAGGAAAACCCCAAAACCTCTATGCTCCCCTTTCCCCCTTATATTGCCCCCTCCAAAAAAAAAAAAAAAGTCCCAACAAAAAGAGTTCCTGTGGCTTTGAAGTAAGAATTTTTGGGTTTCGGTGGCCTAAGGTTTTGAGTGCCTGGGTTATATTTTATTTCATACATACCTTGCAGTAGAATCAGTAATTGTTGTTTTGCTCCTTTGCTTTTGAAGCTGTTCCTTGTATTATTAGTGAGCAAGGAATTGACTTGAAACATATGTATATAAACTTTACTTTTCTTGTAGCTAATGATTCTGAAAGAGCAAAATAATCAGAAGAAAACACTTCCAGATGGGATGCTGGATATAAATCATGAGCAAGAAAATACCCCAACTACAAACGGGAAGGTACAGCTATTGGCATTTTTAGCTGATGTCTGAGTTTTAATCATTACCTGTAATATTTTCATTTTAATCTGTCATAAAAGCTTTTAAGTGATGATTCAATTAAATAAGTCTCAGTTACCACAGTCTGAATTTTTGCAGTCTGTCCAATAATAGAATTATCTTGGGGGAGGGACTTCTAGAGCTAAGTCACAGTTTGCTTTGCAGAGTCCTGTGTAACATGGAAATATTTGTGTTTTCCCCTTGTTTAATAGCGATCCTCTGATGGGTCTTTATGCCACGATGAAAACCTTACTAAAGTGATTGAACTCCAAGACATCATAGATAAGCAAAACAAAGAGCAGACACAAATGAAAGAGCGTCTCACGGCTCTGTCTAGCAGAGTAACAGAGCTGGAAGAAGATCTTGACACAGCTAGGAAAGATTTAATAAAATCTGAAGAAATGAATACAAAGTTACAGAGAGATGTACGAGAGGTGAGCAATAAACTGCCAGAATTTGGATAGTCACACATGCAGCTGCTTTACAAAATTTTGTTGGTGCTCAGTTACACCTTTATGCTTCTGAACATCTTGGATTTGATGGGTGAGAAGAAAATGGGTTAGGGCACAAAGGCACTATTTTTTTTGTTTAAAAGACCAATTGTTTCAGAAAAGTTGTCTTCAGAATAAATCTGTGACTAGATACTTCACAAATATTAAAGTAGAGATTTAGGATTGTGAACTTTAACATGTTTGATTTGTAAATGCTAAGCTTGTTCATGAAGTTCAAATCTTTATAAAGATGTGCATGGTTGAAGAATCACTTCAGTTTGTGCTGTGATTGACAGGTCCTGTTACTGATCAATCACTAATCTCCAGGGTCCTGTGTATTGCAGTGTACTGTATCCTTATTAAATAGAAAGGGAGCTCAGTTAAATTCAGGAACACACTCTGACTATCCCCAGGAAGTATGGATTTACTCTGTGTGTTGATTCATTTTTTTTTTTTTACTGAGAAATATAAAAAAAAATATATATATGAAATATAAAAGTAGAACTCTTTTTTTATTGTTATTACCATTTGTGAGTTCCCCCCCCCAGTTAGATAACTAAATAATCACCCTATATATTCTAAAGTCTTTTTTGCATCTTGCATAGACTTTGGCCCAAAAGGAAGACATGGAAGAGAGAATTACAACTCTTGAAAAACGCTACCTCGCTGCACAACGTGAAGCTACATCTGTGCATGACCTCAATGATAAACTTGAAAATGAAATTGCCACTAAAGACTCCATGCATCGACAGGTTGTAATTTGAGATAAGAGAGAGTGCATTTTGCTAAGCATAAAACTAATGGAAATAGCAATTTTCTTTTTGGAAGAGAAATATTTGTAATGAGATATTGTTAGCAATTGTTTTTCAGTAACTGGATTGCAGAGTTTTATCCTGGAAATGAAGATGAGACAGTTTACTGGGGAAGGGAAGTGGGTTTCAGTTCTGTAGGGCACTTGATCATGGTGTAGCAGGGCTGTTGACTCTATAAATTGTGGATTTTAATGTTGGTACAGGTCTATCCAAGCATCTTGAGTTTCACGTGAGAATTATTCTAAGCCAAAACAGTTTTAAAATCTGCGTAGTCTGTAATGATTGTTATAGCCTATAATAGAAGTAAATGTTGCCTTACTGTGGAAGGCACTTTGACATATGCTTGACATGAAATAGTCCAACTTTATAATTCAGAAATGCTTGTTTAGCCAATTACTTTCTCACTAGAGGAAGGGAACTCCTAGCCAACAAGAGAACTCCTTTTAGTAAAAATCTTAAAAAGCTGTGCATGCTTTAAAAAGAAATTTTGCAATAATATGCATAGTGTTACTTAAAACACAAAGGAATTTTTCCTTGATGTAACTCAAAGTCTTAGCATAGAAAATTCACAACTTGTTCTGTGCTGCTTCACATATTATAGCTGTTTATTTGGTAATGTAATTGCTTTCAGAAGACACAAAATTGCCACAGAAAATGTGTAGAGAAAAAAAATTTCTCATGTAATGGAGAGGGAGGGAGGATGCTACATCTTTGGTTGAGCAGCCAGTTTTGGACAGTTTGCCCTCCATGGGTCTAGTGAGGGCAGTAATTCTGTATCCTTCCCTTCCCCTCTGATGAAAATTCATTACCATTGGAACACTGAACATTTGTTGATCATAATCCTGTGCAGAGTGAAGATAAGAATAGGCAGTTGCAAGAACGACTGGAACTAGCTGAGCAAAAGCTGCAGCAGACACTGAGAAAAGCTGAAACTTTGCCAGAGGTGGAAGCTGAGCTGGCACAGAGAGTTGCAGCACTTTCAAAGGTGGGTCAATTGGGCAGTGTCCTCAAAAGTCTCTTCTCTGGTGTCCTACTGCAGGAAATGTGTTCCTGAAGTGTTGGGTTTGTTACATGGTGTTTCTCTTTCTCTCCCAGCTAGTTCAGAAAGTGTTTCTCCTTGTTTTCTGTTCATCTCTGTGAATGCACTCTACTTTGTTTTTTTTTTCTTTCAATTTCTGCTCTTTGAATCTTGAGCAAGTTTTCTGTTAACTCTGCTGCATTATGAAAATGTCTCTCTGAATTATTTTGAATGAATTTTAATAAAAGGCAATAATAATAGACTTCTAAACCAACTTATTTCTCAAGGGGAACACCAGATCTCTTCCACTGTTAACCAAGTGAGGAATGTGGGGAGTGAGAGAAGTAGTTGTACTCATTCATACTAAGATTTTTAGAAGGCTGCAAATGGAGTAATGAAGTCTGAAGAATTATATGTAGTAACTACAAATGAGCCTTTTTGTGTGTGTGCTTTCTTTTAAAGTCTTAGTTTCATTTCTTTCCCTGTTATCTTTCCTGTCCCTAACTGGCTCTGTAGTCTGACCTTTTGTCTACTGGGAGCTCTGCTGCTAAAGATGCTAAAGTATTGGAACTTGCCACCAAGCTTAGGAAGGTAGAATTTGTATATTAGTCCTTGTTTCTGCTTGCTGCTTTCTGCTTTGTCATGGTTACTAACAAAGGGTCATATTGTCCAGGCTGGTGAAGAAAAGCTGAAATGCATTTATTTCATTTTTTAATTTTTTTTTTTCCCCAATTCTTGGGGTTATGAATGAACTTCTGCTGTTGCAAGCTCATTTGCAAATAGTAGTTGATTCATGGTGCTTAGGGGTGAGAGGCTTCATCAGCTTGTTACTTAGCATATGAACTCTTACTAGGTTCTTCCAGGGACAGAAGGGGATCTGTTCTGCATTGTGCATTACCATAAATGGCACTTGTGCAAAGCATGTTAGATACATTATTGTGCTTCAATGTTTCTATGCTTTTGAACAATTTTAAAAACAAAAACAAAACCACAAAAAAAAACCCAAATCCTAATTTTGCTTTCCAATTGACAGGCTGAGGAGAGACATGGCAATATAGAGGAGCGGCTGAGACAGATGGAAGCACAGCTAGAAGAAAAGAATCAAGAACTGCAAAGGGTACTGTACATATTTTTGGCAAAGAGAAAAAGCTACAAGAAAGAATTTAATCCCTTTCAAGGCTGCCTACTGTTCAGCAAAGCTGTTTTTATTTCTCACCTCTAAAATCAGAATTTAGACTGGCTGGTAGCTGGGAGGTTTGAGCCACTGTACTGTGGCTAACCTTAAATCTCCAGAAAAAAGCAGAAAGTCACCAAAGTTTGGAAATATGTAATGGCTAATTGTCATGAGGAGACCAATCAAAAACTTGCTGAGCTAAATGACTGTGGGAAAATTGGTTCCTAGGTTATAAATAATGGAATTGATTCTGAAATATTCTGTTTTGTCTTGAAGTGCAAGCTCAAATTTTTAAGTTTCTGATGCTGGGACAGTTATTAAAGTCTTAAGTGTACAGACTCATGGAGTTACATGCAATTGTACTTACTCCTTTGGAAAAACATTTCTATTTAAGAAAATACATTTGGCTTAAAGAAAACTTCATGGTTTTACAACCTGGAAATTGTTACAGACATTGTAAATTAGAAGTGATTTCAGTAGCTTTTGTGTATCTTAGGCTAGACAGAGAGAGAAGATGAATGAAGAGCATAATAAACGTTTGTCCGAAACTGTTGATAAGCTTCTGTCTGAATCTAATGAAAGGCTCCAGCTTCATCTCAAGGAAAGGATGGCTGCCTTGGAAGATAAGGTAACAAGTCACATTCTGGCTTACATGTTTAATTAGATGTTCAACATTCTGTAGTGATTTGCAGTATGTCTGTAATTTCAGTAAATAAATACTTGATCTTTATTAATAAGTAGTTTCTTCTGTTAAGGCTGTTGTCTAGTGTGGAGTTTGAAAATATGGTCTTCAAATTCCTTTTACTTTGAGGTCGTCCCTGGGCATTGTACTACACTGTTGAGGAGGCATCTTTTAAGAAGCCTTGCTCCAAGCCCCATCCAACCTGGTATTTTAGTGCCTCATGGCAATACAATGCTTCAGTTCCAATCTATAATGATGTATTTAGAATTCTAATAAATGTTTGCTGTCTCTTGCTTTCATGTCAACTCCATTCTTGTCCCTAAACTATCAGTCAGGTAGTTGACCCATCTTTCCAGAATTCCAGGGCTGTGCTCCTCTCAGATCATTACAAAGGTTTAGTTCATTGTTCTCCCTGCTTTTGTGCTATTGGAGCTGAGAGGAATTGAGTAGTGCAGAGCAAAGGTCCTGCTGATTCTCATCCTTGGACTTAGTGGTACAGGTGCTTGTCATCTGCCCTCTATGGCTGCAGACTTTGTCTTCTGTTTTCTAGTTAACATCACTGTTTTCAAGATCACCAACTGCTCCTAATGCTGCAGAAATTCTTCTTAGCAGCCTTGTTATGACATCACCTAGGTTGCTCTAGCAGTCTTTATAAATTAAGTTCCTGAGAAAGAGCTGACTGTATGCTTATTTTTTTTTAAATGTTTGAAAATTTGGGGCAAAGGAGTGTCTTAGGGTTGACACTAGCTCCCCTTTACCTCCCAAACTGTAACTGTGTTCATGAGCAATGAGGCAAATCTAGTTGTCCTTCACTGTGAGCTGCAGCTTCTAGAAGAGTATTCTTGCTGTGGCTTCCAGCTCATGCTTTTATAGTAAACTGGGAAGAAACATGCAGGTAAAATGTTAAGATTTTCTTCTGATGACTTGGGCTTTTTTCCCCAGAATGATTTGTTTGTCATTGTATGAAAATTTATTTGCATCTTAAACACGTAATAGTGGTATTCCTTACTTCAAGGAAGTGTGTTTGGCAGAACTTTTTGGCACTGATGGAAAAGAAAATGACTCAGTTAGAAGTTTCATACATGGAGGGGGAATATCTTTTTTTTTTTTTCTCGGTGTTGCATAATACAGTCAAAATAGTTGAAATTATTTTTGATTTTTGTAGGTCTCAAATGTTTCTCAGATGATTCTTAGTCTGAATTTGGAAACTGCTTTGAGCAGAGATTGTAGTAGTCAGAATTATTTGTATCTACTGGATCTGTTTAGAAGTCATGGTATAACTGTAAAGACAACAGCTCTGATGTTAATGAAGGTCCTGAATGAATGGGCTTGAAGTCAGTGAGTGTTGCAGTTCTGGAGGTACAGCACATCCAAGAAAATACTGGGGAGTAATTTTGTAGGTCAGGCAAGTGAAAATAAAATGAAAGCCTAATGGTAACAGCTAGTAATGGCTTAGTAACCACTCAGTGAATTACTGTGAATTATTTTAGCTGCCTAATTTTTTTTTTCACTAGTTTTACCAAATGGAGTCCTAAAAGGCTGGTATTGGTTTTAAATTTTTATGCAACTTGTACAGTTACTAAGTCTATTATTTAGAAGGCTGAACACCTGAAAGGATAAACCTTCAACTGTAATCAAATGATGTAAGCAATAAAGTATCTGTAATTTAAGGTGCATATTTATCATACTGACTGAATTATTTTGATAGTTATAATGATTTAAGAGTTCAGAGCTTTTATAAGTAACATAATTTGTGATACTTTTTATTTTAGAATTCACTTCTTCGGGAAATTGAACATGCAAAGAAACAAATAGAGGAACTTCAGCAAGAAAAGGTATAATACACATTTCTGAAATGTTATATGTGAAAATAACTGCTGCATTGCTGTGTAGCACAACCAGATTCACATCCCCCATACAACTTAACTTCACCTGGTCTGCTTAAAAGCAGGGAGCTGTTATTGCTCATTTTATGATAGTATGTGCCTCAGTTCTGTATTGATTCTATAGGTAGTACATAGCTTTTTGCTTAAAGATTTAACATACTCCTGAACATGAGAAGTGGCTGGGTATATTGGCAGTGTGCCAGAGTTTGAAGATTGCATAAAATTTTCATACTGGTGTATAAATGACCTTGAACCATAAAAAGCAAAGAGAAATACTTTTAGTGTTTGGTATTTTCCCATAAGCTTTTTCATAAAGCATTGGGTATTATGAAATGCTTTGTTTGACTGCTAACTTTTTTTTAAGTTTTAAGAATTGTCCAGCAGGGAGAAAAATATTTATTAGACTTGACTGCTCCTTTGCAACAGCAGCTGTCTGGGGTTGTGCTTGCCCTCGAACTGACAAGTTACCTTCTTTTATAGTAGTGGGGGGGCCTTTCATTTCTTCTCAACCTGAAGCAGCAATGGCAATTGATTTTGTGGTCATGCTGTCTGTTCTGACATAGTATTTGTTGTTGCTTATTAAATCCCAGGTGTACTGCAGCTCCCCAAATCCTTCTAGTAAGCAGCTAGGCCAAGCTGGAGAAGCTGTGCCTCTGTAACAAAATGAAGAATGCATTCAGAATATTTTGCAGAGTGTGCTTTGAATTTTTGTGTGTGGAGGCCAGTGGTTGTCACACAAGGCACAGATGTTCATCATCAGCCACTTTTTATTAGTCTTTCCTTTTTTCACATTCATTGGATTTCTCTGTTGTTAAATTCCAAGTTTCTAGAGCGTGTAAAAATGTCCAAGTGAATGGATTTAGAATCTTTTGTGCACAAAGCTTGAAAAATATTCGTGTTTCTTATTAACTATTATAATTCCATTACAGTGAAATGAGTAATATAGGAATGTCTGGTAGCTGTTTTTAAACTATATATTGTCATTAACAAGAGTCACAGTGTAGAGAAGCAACAGTATTACACTTGGATGCCCTTTTGTGATGATGCTGTACTGTGTGTAGCAAAACTAATTTTTTTGTTTTACATCATTTATGTTTTAAGATCTGTTATTTCTGAGTTTCATAGAATTGAGATCCAAACCCAAAATGTTAATTTACAAATTGCTATTTGACACTGTTCTTTTTTTTTTTTAAGCATGTTGTTCTGTATTCTGTCTGCCTGTTTGTACAGGATCAACTTGTATTGAATGTTGAAGCATTAAGGGCTGAGAACGACCAAGTGAGACTCAGAACCACATCACTTCATCATAGGTACCAGCACTTAATAGCAGTACAGGTTTTTTCTAATTTCTTTATAGTCAGTTTGCTAAATGTAATTCTCTCTGTTAGAACTGAAAAGATGTTCATCATAGCTATAAAATGTATTCTTTATAGAGCATATAAAGAAGTTTTTATACTGCTTAAAAAGATCAGCATTGCTGGGAGGAGAGGATCCATTTCAGTTGTTTTTTTGGTTCATTTTCCCCTTCCCCTTTGTAAGAAAAAATATTTCCTCATGTTCTAGCCGACCAGATTTCAGATACCCTGTGACATCTGCATCTGTGGTTGACAGTCACACAGACTCCTATGGCACCTCATCAGTGTTAAGGCGTCCTCAGAAAGGACGTTTGGCAGCTCTCAGAGATGAACCTTCAAAGGTAAGAGAACACTGAAATAAAAACCAAAACTTTGGCAACAAAAGAGATTAGATGTGGCTGATCTGTTGCAAGGAGTTTTTAGAACAGGACTACCAAGCAATGAACTGCTAGACTTTACATATCTTACTTCACTAATGCATAGCTACTAGTCTTCTTGCGATTACTTTTTAACAATTAAAATTATCATTTTGAAGTCCAATTTAAGTATAAGGCTGTAAAATACAATTTGAAACACTCCTATTTTTGTGTCTATAATTTAATGTGTTCCTGTTCTATAAGGAATTTCAAATCCCTTTCAGGACACAAGTTCTCATTCCAAAATTCCGTTGGATTTGGTAGCAAAATTCTCCTGTCACATATCTTGGCCATAATACTATAAATCATGTTTTAATTTATTCAGTTGGACTGTCCATTTTGAAATATGACTTAACTGTAAGATGTGAAGTTTTCTACATTATAGCCTTTTTTTACATTTCTCTAAACATTGCTGTCTTGATGGATGCACTCAGCATGTAAGTGGACTTTTTAAAAATTATTTTAAACCAATTTGCAAAAGAGTAGAAATGTAATGGCTTTCCCATTTGAGTTGGATTTATTTTTTCAATTAATTCTCTTAGGTTCAGACTCTGAATGAGCAGGACTGGGAGAGAGCCCAGCAAGCAAGTGTATTGGCAAATGTGGCACAAGCATTTGAAAGTGATGTTGATGTGTCTGACGTTGAGGATGACAGGGAGACTATATTCAGTTCAGTTGATCTGCTGTCACCAAGTGGCCAGGCCGATGCTCAGACTTTGGCCATGATGCTTCAGGAACAGTTGGATGCTATCAACAAAGAGATTAGGTATGGTCTGTCTGCTGTTAAGGTCTCTGGATAAGGAAAAATGTGTTTCTGTGATGCTAGAAATGCTTTTTGTGTGATTACTCAGAAAATGGTGGTTTCCTGGGGACGGGTGGGTTGACAGAAGTAACTAGTTTGCTTATGCCTCAATACTCTTTTCAGGTTCTTTGTCTTCAGTCCCATTTATGGGAGGGGTTGTGGGTTACCAGTTTGACAGAAGCCCCTGCATGGTGGCAACAGCAGTACCATTTACACTTTTTTCCAGATTGGATTGAAAGATTTTTTCAGTGTGGCTCTTTTGCCTTGAGTCCTGCTTCTTTCTAGTGCCTGGGTCAGCCGTCTGCTTGTGTGGGACTTGGTTAAATGTTACACGTTCCTTTGAAAATCTGTTTTTCCCTTAGACTCATACAAGAAGAGAAGGAGAACACCGAGCAGCGTGCGGAGGAGATCGAGAGCAGAGTGGGGAGTGGGAGCCTGGAGGCCCACGGCCGGTTCCGCTCCATG